GAACCGGTCCAGAACCAGAACCGGTCCAGAACCGTTCGGTGTTTCTAACAGCCTCGAAACGGTTTCATTCTCCGCGGCTCTTCTCAGATGAGTCTGAACGAACCCAACAGAACCGATCCGGACCGGATTCATCTGAAGAAGTTACACAGTGAAAAATGTACAGCAATAATTTGGGTTATTTATGGGAAAAATAAAGGTCCATATTTTGACGATGTTATTAATTTAGTAATAAATGTCACAGTTTCAAACTAAACAGATTGCGAGCTAAAAGTTTAGGTTGAAGCTAAATCTCTAGTTTGCTAATAACATTTTGAAGTTTATCACACTGTAAAAAGTGACTTAAAACAACACAGAGTGTTTTCTGTTCTGCAGCATCAATAAACCAAATTACTGCTTTAATGTTTCATTTTAAAGTTTATTACATTTCTGAAATATCCTCCTCCCTCTGATCCCGTCGGGTCGGGGTCAGCAGCCCACACTTCCCTCCCAGTCTCCCGGTCCGCCTCCTCCAGGAATCCCAAGGCGTTCCCAGCAGAGGAACATCGTCCCTCCAGCCTGTCCTTGGTCTCCCTCTGGTCTCCTCCTGGTGGGACGTGAACTCCTCAGCAGGGAGTCTCCATCCTAACCAGATGCCGCTCAGCTGGCTCCTCTCAGTGTGAAGGAGCAGCGGCTCCATGATGACTGAGCTTCTCTTAGGGAGAGGCCAGACAGAGGAAACTCATTCTAGCCGCTTGTATCCGTGACCTCATTCTTTCGGCCATGACCGCAAAAAGAGCCGCTGAGTCAGCGACCTACTGCGGGCAATGCGGACCAAATATTTCTGAAATATTTGTTTTAGAAAAGATATTCAACACAAGGAAAAAATATATAATAATAATAATAATAATAATAATAATAATAATAATAATGATAATATTAATAATAATAATAATAATGATAATAATAATATTAATAATAATAATAATAATAATAATAATAATAATAATAATAATAATAATAATAATAATAATAATAATAATGGTGTGTTTTGTTTCTGACAGGATGGATGTGAAATCTCTTCACTGTGTCTCTGGCAGCACTGACGGCGGAGCTTCCAAGCATCCCAACCAATCAGAATGCGTCTCAGAGCAGCCAGTGGCCAATGGGAGGCTTCCGCATCACTGCACAGGTGAGAGAAAACAGAACACGATCTGACTGGTTGAAAGGGGAAACCAGCATGAGCTCAGAGCAGATCAGAACTCTGAAAACAGAACCAGGTCAAACACTGAGTCCAGGTTGATTCTCATTTCCCTTCAGAATGCCGTCTGGGATTTTTCTCATTGACTGAAATTCCTCTGTTTGAATTTCAACGGGCCAATCAGCGACCAAAAGGAGGCGTTATGAAGGATGATGTTGAGTTTTCCCCTGGTTGAAGTTTGGAGGTGGAGAAAGTAAACGAAGCTGTTCAGTCAGAGCAACAGGGACGTTTAAAGGGCCGGAATCATGTAAATTCTTATAACAACCGAAGGTAATACAGTTACTGGATTTTACCATAAAATGATTTTATGTCTGGAAACACATTTTGTTTCTGGCAAAGATGGAAGGTTTTCACACAATGCTAAATTTCCGCTTAGCTTCATACAGTGTTACCTAATATATTTAGATACAGCTAATAAAACAAACACAGTTTTGTTTTTGTTTTGGTGAAATCAAACCAAACTTTTCTTCTTTTATCTTAGTTAGAATTATCAAAATCAATTTTACTTGCTAAATGCCAGAAAACTTGGTAAGAACATCGAGAACGAAGCGAAGCGTAGAATTGGCGTCTGGATCTTTGTTCTTATGGCGCCACAGTTCCATCTTTCACTGAAAGTGCTGGTGGAGTGGCTCCTTCCTGATCTCTGACTTCCTGTTGGACGTTGGACCAGCAGAAGGTTTTAGAATGGCGCTTCCTGTTTCCTCACAGGTCAGGCTCCGCCCCCTGCCTCTGATAGCCTGCAGGAAGCCGACAGCAGCGATGAATCTTTGACCGACACCTTCTCCACCAAGGACGTCTCTCGCCTTCTCCCCACCCCCCACAGACAGAAAGGTGAGAAGGCCCGCCCCCTCCCTGAGGCTGAAGGTCACTTGTGAGGTCATGTGAGGTCATCTCTTCTGTCCCAGGTGTGGTCAGCTCATCACAGCCTCCCATTGGCTGCCCTCCACCCCCCACCTGCAGCCCAGGCACCAATGAGAAGCGCCTGTCATCGACCAAGAGCCACGCCTCCTTGAAGACGGACGCAGCCCACATCAAGGAAGTGGCTGGAAATGGTGAGCCAATCAGAACGAAGCTTAAGAGCTGAGGTCTGGGAGGACAGAGCCTGGTTCTGGTCCAAACAGGTGACATCATGGACACCGACTAATCAGAGGCAGAAGATCATCATGGAGAGTTAAGCAGAAAGTTGAGTGGAAGGATGAAAGCTCAGTGAGATCCTGAATGTTGGTGCTGTCCAATCGGACTACAGCAGGAGGTTCTGGAGGTCAGGGAGACAGCCAGTAGGCCGGAACCGGACCAGAACCGGGTCAGAACCTCTGTTCTACTGGGTCAGAGTCGGGCCTGAGATGTTTCAGAACCAGAAACCAGAGAGCTGAGTCTCAGACACTCTGAGGAGGAACCAGTAGAACCAGCAGAACTAGTGAGGAGGATCCCGGTTCTTGTCTCTGAGTGTCGGCCGCTCATGATTCCTGAAAACACAAAAAGTTCTGGAGTCTGCTGGTACTGCAGAGGAATCTCACACTTTGGGCTGGCGGGTTCTGGGAGGTTCTGGCTGATGATCCAGGAATTGATGATTAACGTCATGAATCCGACTTTTGAGCCAGAACGTTTCGGAAAGTCTTAGAACGTTTTAGAACGTTTCCACTCGCCAGGGAAAGGCAGCAGGTTTTCATTTCCTCCTCTGGAAGCTGGAACAAAAACAGAAGATCAACCGGAGGCTTATCAGCTGCAGCCAGAGGCGGCTGAGCCTCCCATCAGCTCCGGGTCACACCCACAGAACCAGAACCAGTAACAGAGCCAGAGCCAGACAGCAAAGCTTCAAGTCAACTCTGAATTTCTTCACCCAGACCAGGGGTGACCGAAATGCGGCCTGGGGGCCATTTGTGGGCCCTTGAACTTGTTTTCTTTGGCGCCAGACCACGAGTCAAGAAGGTTAAAATTTGGTCATTAAAACAGAAAACAGCTGATGACCCAAAAATGTGGAAATTGTCAGTTTTACAGTCCAAAGCACTTTTTATGTTTTTAATAATATACAGATTTAATTTAAAAAAAGAAAAAAATCACAAAACATTCATTTTTGCATATTTTTTTATGAAATCCCCCCTGTCCTCATAGTTTACAGTTGCTAGCAGGGCAAAAAGTTTGTACACCCCTGATGTCCTTTTTTGAGACCTGTCTGGGATAGAAGACATTCTGTTGGACACTGTAGGACATGTCCCCTGGTTGACCTGTGGGACAAACTGACACAGGAAGTCTTGACAGAGAAGCGTTGGGGGAAAATGAAAGAAAAACTGCAAATGAGACCAAATGTGAAATATTTTTGCCTCCATAAAGTGTCATCATGAAAAAAAAGCATCATATTTGATTCTCCTCTGCGCTAATTGAACATCTTTTCATTTGTTTTCTTAAGGGAATTAAAATGTTTTCAAACAGTTTTCAGTTTTCCCGATTGTCCCTGCAGACTGCTGCGTCCACTGTCTGCTGGCCTGCCTGTTCTGTGAGCTGCTGTCCATGTGCTCGGCGCTGGGGGAGTGTCTGGCCTGCGGCGTGGGCGGAGCCAGTTGCTGCGACGGCGCGGCGTGCTGCTGCTGCGTGGAGGCGGCGTGCACGGAGGAGGCGTGCCAGGCGGTGTTGGACTGCGGGATGTTGGAAAACTGCTGCGCGTCGTCTGACTGCCTGGAGGTCTGCTTGGAGTGCTGCGCTATCGTCTTCCCTTCATAGGGCGGCCAATCAGGGGAAGACTGGATGATGATGTCATAGCAAAGGACAGAAACCCTTGGATTTCCTTGGTTGGTCTGAACGATCCGCATCCCGTTTGGATCTCGGATCAGCACAAAGGTTCTCCGACCTGGACATGAAAGAAGAAGCAAGGAGCCGACTGTAGAACAAATATTTATGAAAAATATGAAATAATTTAATTAAACAAAAGACAGTTTTAAAAGCTTGTTTTTTTTATCATCCATTTTCTAACAACCTTGTCCCTACTGGGGTCGGGAGGGCTGCTGGTGCCGTTTCGGGCGAGAGGCAGGGTCACCTGGACAGGTCGCCAGTCTGTCGCAGGGGATTGTTTTTTATCAGCACTTCTAAATAAAGTCACTCTGGGGTCAAAAGGTTAAAGACCCATATCTCATAAATCAAGTTTACATTAATTTTGTATTATTTGCATGTGATCATGTCCATCTTCATGTTAGCATGTCTTTATCAAGTTAGCATGTTGTCATGTTAGCATGACATCGTGTTAGCATGTAATTATGTTAACATGACATCGTGTTAGCATGTAATTATGTTAACATGTCACTATGTTAGCATGTCGTCATGTTAGCATGTCATTATCCACTGCCATATAAACATCAGAATCAGAAACATTTAGACCTCCAACCAGATGTTGGTTGAGAAGACAGAAACCAAATGGAAGTAATAAGAAGCAAATTCTGTTATGATGAGAATTTATCAGGTTTTCCTCTGGTAGGAACATCTGGACCAATCAGAGCTCTGGTGGATGACGGAGCTCATTATTAGGGGCTTTATATGTGAGAAAGAATCTGAGATTTTAATTTGAATTCTTGAAGGATTTATGGTTGGCAATACCTGATACCATCCAATATGTCATCAGCATAATAAAAATTTATTCCATCCATCTTAGTGGAAAATACTTTTTTTTAACAAGGTTAAAAGGCAAAAAAGTATATCTTTGACTTTTTTTGCTGATGTTCAGATGTTGACATTCTCCAGGATTCTACTTTTGTCACAGATTTACACAAAAACTACAAACTGATCGCACAAACTCTTGTCTTATTTGTACAAAACAATCATTAATTACATCGTCACTGAAATTTTAAGGCGAACGATTAGCTGCTGTACATTCAGTGTTATTCAGACGCTTCGTAGCCGTAAACTGTCTGCAGCTGCTATGAACTTTATGGTGAGGTCTCTGCGTCAGAGATTGACAGCTCAGGAGGGGCGGGTGGGACAGGATGTTCACCCGGTACGAACAGGAAGTCTGTGTTTGTTGGAACAAAGGCCAGGACATTCAAACAGGAAAAGGGAAACCACTGAGAAGACAGTGGTTCCTGACCTCTGACATCAACGCAGCATCAAAGACAAACCTGCTGTTTTTCCCTCTGTGTTTGATAGGAGAGAAAAAATCCATTTCAGTCCACAGATTAAACTGGAATCAGATTAACTAAAACACTTCCACCCGTTGCATAAGGTCCTCACATAACAGGGAGTCCTCATGAGTTGGTTGCAGACAGAGACAGAGGCCTCAAACTGCAGGTCAACCAGAACACACTCCTCCAGAATCGAGGCTGCTTTTCTCACCAGTTTCTGTCAGTTTCAGTGAACAAGATTTAAAGCGTCCCCTGCTGGACAACAACAGAACACAGATAAACGTAATTTAGTTGCCTAAGAAACAGGAACAAAATATTGCTGTTAATGTATATTTAGTTTTTATTTTTAACTTTACAATTATATGTTGTTGACATACTAACCTATGAACTGAAGTGATCAGTAAACTACCGCTGAAATGTATTTTGATAATGTATTCAGCAGAGATATTTTATTAATTTGTGATTTTTCTAATAAAGTTATAAAAATATTCAAAACTCATCAAACAGATCTCTCTGCTTCCTTTATTTTTCAGATCTGATTTACTTTTCATTTGAAGTAGGAATTAAATAGTTTTGTTAAACCATTTAAATCCTATCTTCTTTCTCAGTAGGTATCTGTTTTTACAAATGACTACAATAAATATTTATGAAGCCTAATTTGAACTGATGTCACACTGGTGTAATATTTATAGAATCCAACAGATGGCAGCATCTCCATTGTAGTCAGAGTATCTGTCATGTTTATATTGAAATGTTTCTGTCTTTTGAAATTCAATTTATGCCACATTATTTGTGGAGATTTAATTTTCCAAGGTTATGTTAAATTATCAAATAACATGTTTTTTTCTATTGAAAACAGACTCCATATTCTCTCTCAATACATTTGTTTCCTGAATTTTCTTCTTTCAGCTATGTTTGAACTCAGTACAATATTTGAGCAATTTGCTCCAAAGATGGAAAACAATAAAAGTGTGAAAGCAAAAAGTAAGTCTGATTGGTTCACATCAGCCTGTATTGTCTGTTTTGAGATGTTTTCCTCATCATACTGAGACAAAAATAAATTATATATGTGACTCTGATATTGTTTTGAGAAAAAGCCAATCTGTTGTACATGGAGATAAAAGCACTCACATTTCTGTTTGAATATTTATTCTATATGAAAGATAACAGTGTGAAATTTAATAGTTTTAAAAAACAGAATCTTAGCTAAGATTATTAACAGACTACATGTAAACATCATTAACATAAAACAGCATGAAGGACCAGAGAAACAGATTTCCCTTTGTGACTAATTCCATGTGATCCCGATGACAACCGGCAATGATGCTAACACACAGCTAACAGCAGAAATGATTGCAGTTAGCTTCATTTTCAGTGGCTGGGATTAGAAACATGATCAACAGCAGATAATGTCCCAAACTTCCATCCATTTCCCTTGGTTGAGTGTGTAACACTTGTTAGCACTCTGAGCTAACAGCTAAAGGCATGAGTTTGGAAACTGTTCAAATGTTCAGAAATATCAAAATGTTATTATTTAATGCTTGATTAAAATTTAAAAGAATCATCACGGCCCAGCTCATCATGATAGCATGTCGTCATGTTCATTATGTTAGCTTGTCGTCGTCATGTTAGTGCATCTTTATCCACTGTCATATACAGGTCAGAATCAGAAACACTTAGACCTCCAGAGGCAAAAAACAGTCCAAAATAAATTCATAATAGATGGTTTGTACTTGTATAGCACTTTATCAAGTCCAGAGGACCCAGACTGTGTCTGTAGGAGACTGACCTATGAACCAGGAAGAACTCCTGACGAATGGGTCAGGTAGCTTTCCCACAATGCAGGACATCAACAAAACTGGCAGCAAAACTGGCACTAGTACATGAGCTTTATTAAAAGATGCTAGCATTGCAGTGAGTCAACTCTGGATTATCTGCCAGTCCGGAACCACAGGGTCCAGGTACCTGTCCCTGATTTCCCTTCTGTAGGTCCTGAACTTTGTCTCCAGCAGGACATTGAAACATGGACACAAACAGGAAGTAAACAATCTGGACCAGAAAAATTTCTCTTCTTATTCATAAAATCTCCATAAAATCTTCCCAGCACACTGATTATATATTTCTGTGAATTTACAGATTTGTACAAGCTTGTGAGCAACACACCTGAGGGCTCACCTGTCGAACCCACTGACCTGCTCAAATCAGCCAATCAGATGACAGCTTGTTATTTAACCACCAGTCAGCTCTGGTGCCGATCCGTTATAAGGTGAACGTAAAGGTTACCATGGCAACACAGTGAGGAAAATGTCACCATGGTTACACAGCGATGACTCACAGCGGTTAGCATGAAGTGGTTGCCACGGTTACATTGTCTGTGTTTTGTAATCTGAATATGTTGGACATCACAGACTTTAAATTGTTCTGTCAATTTCTTTGTTAAATCTTTGACCCGGCCCCCTCAGCCAATCAGAGACCAGCCTGTGGTGACATCATCAAAGGTCCTCGTCCATGCTGAAACTGCTCCGCCGGCTGCTGGTCTTCGAGGCGCCGCAGGACAGCAGCGGGTCAGACATCACAGCCCCGCCCGCGTCCTCCTCCATCAGAAGCCCCGCCCCCAGGCCACTCAGCCCCGCCCCCAACTCCGCCATCAGGTCCGTGGAGAAGACAGCGGATGCCTGGTGGGACTCGTCCAGGTCCATGAAGCTCAGCGACGGGTTGGGCAATAGCGGGGACAGGAGCGTCTGGGGGTCCACAGAGACGGAGGAAGAGGAGACGCCATGAAGGCGAGCCTGGAGTTCCAACTCCTGTCACAAAACACAAATCACTTCAGCAAACACAGGACAGGACACGTCCCTTAAGTAACAGGCCCCACCCCCTCACCCGTCCACTCCCAGTCTCCGCCCCCTCACCTGTATGCGCAGCAGCAGCGAGCGGTTGGTGCTCTCCAGCCTGCGCTGCCTCTCCTCCATCTCTCTGGCTCTCTGCTGCTCTTTCTGCAGTTTGCGGATGTAATCCACAGACGCCTTCAGGATGGTGCCTTTGTTCCACCTGGTTTCCCTGAACAGCCAATCACAGAGCATGCCTCATTAAGGCCATTAGCAGTGCCAATAGCTATTAGCGTAGCATGGTTAGCATGAATACTGACGGGTCAGAGGACTTGGGGATCAGTGCTCCGAGCTCCTTGATGCGGTCGTTGATGTTGAAGCGCCGTCTCCTCTCAACTGAAACATAAAGGTCAGACAAGTTTAAGTCTGGATAAAGAGTTTTGGTTTTCACATAAAATCAGTCCAGACGTGTTCCTCTGATGAGGAATCAGAGTCTGTATCGACTGAACTGCCTCTTCCTGTTCCAACAGGAAGTCCTGAGCTGTGATTGGCTGAGAGGTGCAGCACTACTCACTCAGGTTGTGGTTGTCTTTCTTCTGCCGCTCCTTCATCAGAGCTTTGGTCTCCACATCTGCAGCGACAAGAAGAAGGAGAGGAGGATCAGTCAGAGCTGGGCAGCAGGAACACAGGAGGGTTCTACTGCAGATCGGACCGGATCAGACCGGACATTTGTCACATTTACCTGTTAGCTCCCGCTTGACGGCATGCAAGTCGGCTGGGCAGCTGTTACTAACGGCGATGGTGGGCGTAGACATCCCTCCATAGACATCCAGCATGTTCCCCGCTGCCGGCAGCTGCAACGGGCCAATCAGAGGATGATGAGAAACACGCCCTGCTGCAGGTAGACCAACACCTGGATGACCAGTTGGTTCCGGCTCAGCCGACCCACTTGGGTCAGAGCTTCAACCCAGTTTAACTCATTCATGGAACCTATGCAACTGTTTGTTTCTGGTCCGGTTGTAAATCTGACGCACAGCTACATCTGCTCACAGCAGCAATGAAACGTCTTCTCTCAGTTCATTTCTGCTTCTAAATGATCTGATTGGACGCTGGAAAAAGCTGTTGCTGTGTTCAAGTTGTGCTAAAAGCAGTTAGCCTACAAATGAAGCAATGCTAGCCTAAAATAGCATCTCAATGCTAACGTGCAGCAGTTAATGCTAATGTCAGCATCCACAGTCCACATTTCTAAAGAGTCTCCATGAATGATCAGATGAATGGATTGGAAAACACTTTGCTCCAAACTGATGGTTGAAGAACCCGAAGATTAAAAATTATTAATATCTCTGCTGTTGAGATCAGATGACTAGTTAGTCAATAATGTAGTCGCACAAACAGCTATTGAATTGAAAATATTGATGATTTTGTCAATGTGACATTTTTTCTTCATTACAAACCATGAAATTATCTGGATTTTGATCCAAAAGAAGCTAACGGTTCCACATCTGATGCTCCAGATTGGAGAGAATCGGATCAAATGGTTACTGATCTAATCCCAGTTCCTGCTTCTGCCACCAGGGGGAGCTGTTTCACCTACAGGATCCTCCTGGTTCCACTCAGGACCATCTATCTGTTCTGGCTCAATCCAAATGGGTCTCAGCACCACTGGTTCTACTGGGACTCTGACCTGTGAACAGGTTCCACTGGTTTTACTGGTCACCTTCTGGCTGGATGAGAATCAGCCTGAGTCCTCCTGGTCCATTTCCTGCCAGAACCAGTTTGTTTTTAAAGGAAACCTCTGACAGACAGAGGTTCTGCTGACTGAAGCATTTTTGAAAACAAGTAGCACAAAACCTCCAAGATCAGCAGGAAAACCCAGAGAGCCACAGATACCCAGCTAAACCAGGTCTGGAAAACCTGGAAAACCTCCTGGAAAACCCAGAGAACATCCTGGAGGTTCTGGAGAACCGTCTAGACCTGCAGTATCTGAAGCTCTGAAAACAAGACAAACTGCAACTTTTACCTCTGATTTAATCCTCCTCTTCTCATGATCCGGCAGCAACACCAAAATCCTCATGTTCTCTGCTCTCTCACACACACCCCAACACACACACACATTAACGACACACACACACAGTGAGCTGCAGCTCTTCCTCTTTCTGTTCAGACAACTGTTGAAAAATGGGGAAACACGTCCTTTAAGAAGAACAGAAAACTCCCACAACTTCATTATCTCCCTGACACACACACACACACACACACACACACACACACACACACACACACACACACACAGAGAGGCCCCGCCCACTGAGAGGGGGAAGTGTGGAAAGCTGAAGTGAGATTGAGGCAGCGTCAGCGGCTGCAGACTGTTGGTCCTCTGACAGAAACACAGAGCAGTCAGTCTGCCCCCTGCTGGCCAGCTGCAGAACAGGACATAAGCCCCGCCCACTTCACGCTGTCAGAGTTCAAACAAATCAGTGAACAGTCGGACTGATCCAGAAGGTTCTGATTAAGCAGAACATCATGTGACAGAAATCAATTGGATTATCTCCTAGCAGGTGGCCACGCCTCTGCGGTGGGTGGCCACGCCCCTGCGGTGGGTGGCCACGCCTCTGCGGTGGGTGGTCACGCCCCTGCGGTGGGTGGCCACGCCTCTGCGGTGGGTGGTCACGCCCCTGCGGTGGGTGGCCACGCCTCTGCGGTGGGTGGCCACGCCCCTGCGGTGGGTGGTCACGCCCCTTTGTTACACTCAGACTGCAGGTGTAATGAGTGCATACCGTGTTGGTGAGCTGCAGGCCAGAGTCGATCAGAGTCAGAAGATCCTCGTTTAGACTCGACTCCAAGCTGATGATGTCGTCAATGACTGTTTCCTCCATCTAAAGAAGAAGAAGAAGAGATCAAGAAGAGAGCTGGAGAATGGATGGATGGATGGATGGATGGATGGATGGATGGATGGATGGATGGATGGATGGATGGATGGGTGGATGGATGGATGGATGAGTGTGGCAGCAGCAGCTCTGTCTCCAACAGGAAGTGGTTTTCCTGACTTCCTGCGGCCTGACTCAGATCCTCTGGAGGTGCTGACTCAGCAGCTGCAGCCAGACAGGAAGCAGTTGGAGCTGACGCTGCTTCCTGTCCGGTTGCTGGTCGTCACAGGACCAACTGCAAAACCTGCTGCTGCCGGCCCGGTTCTGGTCGTTACCTCCTGCTTCGGGCTGCTTTCATCGGACAGCGTGGCACCAGAGTCCTGCTGGGGGGAGGGGCTTGGTTGCAGTGCTGGCTGCTGATTGGCTGTCATGGTGTTGGACAGGTACTGGCGGACCTGCTGCCTCTGGGCCTGCTGGATGTGGTACCTGGTGGGGTTCTCCAGGTGAGTCTGCACCTGTTGGAAACACAGGGTCATCAGCGCCGACCTTAGCAGCTGGGTTTCCCTGCTGGACCGGACTGTACCTTCAGCACCTCCACGGGAACCTGGGCAGGTGTGCAGGGGGCGGAGTTAGCCAGGCTGATGGGGGAGGAGGAGTCGCTGCAGCGCTGCACCTCCTTCTGCTGCTGCGCCTCCTTCTGCTGCTCCTCCAGCGCCTGCTGCCGCATCAGCCCCTGACGCATCAGAACCCTGCAGGAGCAGACCAGCAGGTGACATGTCAGCGCCCCCTGTAGGACACTCAGAGAACAACAGGTACCAGAAAACAAAACAAGTGCGGCTGCTCACCGGGATGACATCACCGATGGAAGAGACGATGAAGATGACGAAGATGGGGATGCTGCAGAGGAGCTGAAAGTAGAGACATAATGAACTTGTCATGGAAACCACTAAGCTGACTTTCCAGGAAGTAGTTGGAACCTGGCCAGGAGGTAGTCGGTACCTGGACAATTTAACCGGTAAGGTGCCTCACCTGATGCTGATTGGCTGGCTCTTGATCTGGTAGAAGATGTCACTGTCTGTGGGAATCAAACTGTCGACCTCGATGTCGGCCACAATCCCAGACTCCATCCTTAAACACACAGAAAATCAACCAATCAGAACCAATCAGAATCAGGACTCAATCGACCAAATAAGCTGACAGTTAGCTTCATCATCTCATGAGATGTTCTGCAGACGGAGAACTGCAAACACTGGACTAGAGAAAAGAAGAGAAACATCTGGTAGCTGTCTAGTTTAACCATTTCCTGAGTGCGAAGATGTTCTGGTTTTTATGCCGTTGTGGGTTCCATAGCAACCGATCAGGTTCATGAGGTCATGTCTGCTCAATGAGGACGTGTTACTGAATATTCACAGGAAAACTGGAATTTCTCAATAATTTTGTATTTACAACAGGGGGGTGCTTTAGGAAAACAGGGACGGTCTGAGAGCAGGGAGATGTTGGTACAAGGGGGACATTTATGATGTTAGCAGATTTTGAAAAAAAATATGAGTTATTGATTAAATATATTTTTAATTCTGTTTTTCTTGCTATACCCACATCTGATTTGAGATGTCGGTCAGTTATTACAGTTAGAAAATAGAGACCATGCCCTAAATCTGGGTATAGTGATGGACTCGGACCTGAACTTTCAGAGCTACATAAAGACAGTTACAAAGTCGCCGTTATCACCTGCAGAACATTTCCAGGATTTAAGAACAGATATCCCAGAAAGATTAATGTGTTTATCTTTAGTTGCATTGACTACTGCAGCAGTGTCTTCACAGGTCCAGCAGCTGATTCAGAACACTGCTGCTGGAGTTCTGACTAAAACCAGGAAGATGGAGACACCACCCAGTTCTACAGTCCTTCACTGAGAGAGCAGACTTTAAGCTACTGCTGGTAGTTTGTAAATCACTGAACCATAAGACATTAAAGATCTGCTGCTGTTGTTGTAGCCTTCCACACCTCTCAGGTTTTCTGGTCATGGTTATGTTTTGGTTCTGCTCTGCATCCCCAGAATCAGAACCAAACGTGGAGAAGCAGCATTCAGCTTCTATGGACCACAAATCTGGACCAAACCTCCAGAAAACTGCAAAACAGCTGAAACACTGAGTTCCTTTAAATAAAGGCTAAAAACCACCTGATTAGAGTTTATTAACTAATAAACTCTGGAAGACATCAACATATTTGATGTTGATTTTGATGATGGTGTTAGATGTTTATTGCTTGTTTCAATATTGGTTACAGCATTATGTTTTTGTGATGGAAAGCACTTTGAACTGCCATGTTGCTGAATTGTTTTATATAAATAAACTTGACTGTCCCTCTCAGGTGTTTCCCAGCTACAGTTTACCTGTTTATCTAAACCTTCGTCTACTTTTGCTTTCTGTTCCCACGAAGCTTTATGTGTCTGAACAGATCCAGGCCTGCAGAGCAGCTGTGACTCATCACAACTTCACCTTCTCCCAACAAAATCCAGCTGTACCCAAAACAAGGTACAGAACCGTTTCCCAGAACTGATCTGATCCAGGTCTGAATCCCAGTGAGGACAAACAGATTCATGGATCCAACAGCAGCTGAGGTGGAGTCAAAGCTGCGTGAGAGCAGAGGAAGGCTGGCTTCCCTCAGTCTGAAGAGGATGAGGAAGGAGGAAGGAGGAGGAGATTCCTGTCTGATGAGTCATCACAGAAGGTTCAGGGGTCAAAGGTAAAATAGAACACAACAACAATAACCTGCCATCATCATCTTCATTAGAGTGCAGATTCAGCATTCCACTCTGACAAATATTAACTTTACTGCTGCTTCTCTCAAGCTTCATCAGACCAAACTCCATTCAAAAATCACCACATTTAAGCCTCAACTCTAACTTTAGTTTTCCTCCTTTGAAATCCCCACTCGTTTCACGGATCTATGCCAATAATATTCCAACAGAAATCATGATTATTACTGAGCCGAATTCACCCGAACCGACGGCTGGACCAACCAAGGTCTCAGTTTACTTAAATAAGGCAGATATTTTATCCATAACTCCAATCACCTCAAAACTGACAGTTTTCTGGCCGGAGTCCGGTAACAGATAACGGAAAACGCTTCCAGACTTACTGGACCAAGCTGAGAGTTTCAGCCGAGTCCAGGATCACGAACACGGTGTGCGGCTGAGGAACCGAGGCCTCCTGTTGGTTCGGCTCGGTTCGGCTCCTGTTCTGCTCTCCGGTCCGGATCTGATCCGAGCCAACGTCTGACATTTCTCCAGAGAGGCGCAGAGAGGGGCGAGATGTTCCTGCGGGCGCCGGGATGAAATGAGGAGCTGCAGCCGGGGAGGCAGAAGGAGGCAGCGGGGAGCAGAGACAGAGGATGAGGAAAAATCTGGCGATGAAGTCCAACACCGAATCACACAGAGCTAAAACACACAGATCAGACAGACACCAACTGTGCTCTAGAAACTCTTTCTTCTATTTGTTTAACTTCATTTGTTACACTTAAAATATTTCCCCTAAACATTAAGATTTCTCCCTAAATAAATACAACTACCACTATTATTATTATTATTATTATTATTATTATTATTATTATTATTATTATTATTAAAGTCATATTAGAAAATTAGAATATGCCTTCTGATGAGGCTAGTTTGTCAGACTATATTTTGAAACATAACCTTTAAGCAGTTATTAAACATAATTTTCATTAAGAATAAATTTCTGCATTTAAAATGATTTTATTATTGGTTTAATATTTTAAATCTCGTGTTGTCATTAACTGTGCAAATAAATAAACATAATTAACAGAAACAAAGGCTTTCAAACAACCATCTGGATAAGAAATAAATGCCAAATAAAAAACTAAACCAAAAAAATAAAATGGTAAATCTATTTTCATTTCTTTTTTATTGAGTTTATCGTTTTATATAACAAAAAGGCAAATTTAGCTGTTCTTATTTTTTTCATTCAACAAGTTCAGTCTGTAGAGGAGAGAAAAATCAGAAATTTAATAAATCTGATTTACAAAATGAACATTTACCCAAGCAACACAATGTTGACTTTTATATTTTATTATCATTATAAAAAAATTGTTCAAAAATAAATATGTTGCTACTTTGATTGATGCAACATTACCTGAGATTTCATTTGATTTTACAAAATATATTTTTTTGTATAAAATCTGAAACCTTTTTCTAGTTGTTGTGTTTCTATGTTTCAAGGGGCGGGCTCAATGGCCGGCACTGCTCTCTGTTCAACCAATCAGCTGCTTCTTTCTCTGCAATAACCAACAGAATAGCGTAGGAGTTTTCTGACAGCCAATCAGTTTCTCCACTGAAGCTCATAGACCGCCATGATGTTTGTTTTTGTCTAAGATGTTTCGGAAAGAGGTGGAGGTGTTGTTGGGATGGAGGGGCGGGTAAGGGAGAGTTTGTGACGGGGAATTCCCGGGTAACGTCATCCTCCTCAGCCCTGATTGGCTCAGCTGAGCCGGGTCACGCTCTGCCCAATCAGGAGAGTCCAAACAAAGCTAAGGCGAACGTTGTGACGTCATCACACAGCTGACTCAGAGAATAAGAGCCGCTGATAATTTTTGATCTGTAAATTAGTTGTAAAACATGAGTTCAATTAGAGCAGAACGTTCTGCGTTCAGGACCCGTGAAAAACATCTGGATCATCTGGAGGAGAACGTTCCCACGACTGATAGTTCCTGCTGGTGGAGAGGTGAACACCTGCTGGCGTTGCTTTTAGCTGCAGACTTCATGGGAAATCGTCTTAAAAATGACCTGAATAATTAAATCTGTTCCTGAAAACGTCACAGTGACAGATTCCTGGTGACGTCAGTTTTATCTCAGAAAGAAAGCGTGACGCCGCCAGGTGGCGCCGTCGCTTCTCCCAGGAAGAGCAGACAACAGAAACCCGTTAAGCCATTTCATCACTTTTATTTTTTCATTACAACCTCATTTACTTTATTTTACAGAGGTGCATGATGGGAAATAGGCAGCGACAGCATGGAAGGCAGTGGCCGGCCACTAACCAAAAATCATCAATCAATCAATCAATCAATCAATCAATCAATCAATCAATCAATAACAAGACATTTAAAATTCAGCAAGACAACATAAGCTTGGTATAAAGGCAGCAAATACAGCTACTGTTGCTGTCATGGTAACAGGGATCCAGACAGGTGTGATTACCATGGTAACATGGAAAACCCCATGGTCGTCTAAGATGCTACCACGGCAACTTGTCAGGAAATGAACAGAACAGATGGGTGGGGGGGGTTTATTGACTGAAAATAAAGTTAACCGAGCTTCAACTGAAACTGACTGGAAATACCTTTATGTAACCAGTTAGAACTGGTTTTTACAGGACATACCTGGTTGTAACTGGTTTTACCCTCACCATGACTGTTCTAAATGTCCATAACCAGTTAAAACTGGCTGTAACCAGTTAGTCAAATATAACTAACTGTGAGAAACTATGCTTTACCAGTTCTGACCAGTTCTAACAGGTTAACCAAGGCCTAGCTAGGGATACTTGGCTAGTTGTTCAAATTTGTCAGGATGGTTGGAATTAAACATTGATTAGACTAGAACAGTGCTTCTCAATTCCAGTCCTCAGCCCCACCCCTGCTCTGCATGTTTTAGATGAGCCTCTATTCCAGAACAGCTGATTCAAATGATTGCATGACCATCAAGAGCTGCAGATCCTGTTAATCACCCAGAGATACAATCCAGGTGTGGCAGAAGGGAAACACCTAAAACATGCAGGGCAGGGGGGCCTGAGGACCAGGGTGGAGAAACTGGACTAGAACAACATGTCAAAAACAATCTGGGCCAGTCAAACCAGTAGCTACCAGTCAGCAGAAATCATCCAAACCTATAGCAATCAAAGCCAAAGAATGAGTGAAAACCTGTAAGAACCAGCTAGAATTTTTACTGCTAGATGACTAAACTGGCAGAAACTGGTGAAAACCTGCAAGAACCAGTTGGAACCAGTTAAAGTTGTAACACCAGTCAGAACCAGCTATAACCCGTTTGAATCGGTCACAACCTGCAAGAACTAGTTAGAAACAGTAAAAAAGAACCAGCTGGAAGTGATTAAAACTGGCAAGAAATCATGAAAATCTTTGAGAACCAGTCAAAACCAATTATAACTGGTTGGAATTGGTCCAAACCTGTAAGAACTAGTTGAGAAAAGTAAATTAGATACTTAGCAACCCTGAACAGGAGCACTTAGTTTACATATTTTAGAACATTAGATTAGTTTTCTTTCCTCTTTTTTTCTTTCTTTTGGTTTGGTATTTTGTTTGTATTTCCTTTTAACTCATGTAAAGCACTTAGAATTGCCTCGTTGCTGAAAATGTGCTGTATAAATAAAATTACTTTATCTTACCTGAAGAAAATCCTGTAAGAACCAGCTACAAGCAGTTAAAACTGGAGAGAACAAGTGAAAATTTATGAGAACTACATAAAATACTAGCACCAGTCAAAACCAATTAGAACCAGTTCAAATTGGTTAAAACCAGTGAGAACCGGTGGACATCAGTCAAACTAATGAGACAGATATAGAACCGATAAGATTTGGCCCAAACCAGTGGGATCCATTGAGAACCGGTTAGAACTCTGCTAACAGGAAGTCTTCAGTCACACTGACAGAAATGGGACAAAGCAGATCAACTGAAACAAAGATGCTAACAGGCACCGAAAGACCTGGTGGCCATTTCCTTCCATCCTCACTGCTCCACATGCTAAACACACGCTAACAACAAATGGTGACTGCCAAACAACCAGTCAGAGAGACAGAAATCCAGAACCTAAAGCAAGAACCCGTCCTGTTCTGTTGTGTTAGCATAGCTTAGCACAGTCACTGGAAGCAGAGGGAAACTGCCAACATCAAAGACCAGGAACGTTTAGTCAGCAGGTGGCGCTGTGACAACATGGGGAACCTTCGTTGGGGATTCTTCTTGTTCATCATAGCAGCGGCCACGTTTATCTCTACAGACTGAAACAACATGTCAGGGGTTCTAATTGCCTCTGAAGAGTCGAAGGATGTAAAAATCTACTCAACTTTTATGGTTCCAGGAACTGGCCTTTAGAAACCAGAGAAGAGGAGGTACAGGTGTGGCTGAGTAAACAGAAAGGATTCAGGCTTCAGACATTTAGGATACAGAAGGCAAATCATGAACCTGGATGTTTCAAATGTGTTTTTTCTGTTGCTTCCACTTTCAGAATGTAAACTGGAACCTGGTGCACCTGGTGCACCTGGTGCTCCAGGTCCCTCAGGTGATCCACCTGATCTAACAGGTTCCCTCAGCTTCCACTGCAGCACCCAACGTCACTAACACGTCTGATCTTCCTGTGTGACTCTGATTGGAGGAACAACTAAGAGTTGACCTTTAACCTTACATAGTCACATGAGCATTAGGTCAAAATAATAAATTATATTTACAAAAGTTTCTCCATTAAGCAGAATGAACACAGCCAGACTTACGGACACAGAGAACCCAAAGCAGGAATCCACTGGTAACCCAATGGGAACCATCTGGTAACCCAATGGGAACCATCTGGTAACCCAGAGAGCATCTGTGGTTCAAAGCTTGAGAACAACAAGAGTATTTAGAAGATTTTAAATTTCAAAACACTTTCTGGAAAACAAGAGAGAGAGAGAGAGAGAGATGGAACCAGAACCAGTCCAAACAGAGTCGGTTCCATCTAAACGCTGGAAGCATCTTCAACCAGTCAGAGACTCCGTTCAGTCTGTGGAGAACTTCCAGAGATTAGACACCCCAAACCTGTCATCATCATCATCATCATCATCATCATCATCATCATCATCATCATCATCGTTCCTCCATCAGTTTCTTCTTCTGTCAGGAAACGGCCAAGGACTGAAACCTGCCAGCGGAAAACCAATCTCTGCTCTGATTGGTCAGTGCTCCTGCCAGTCAGCCGCTCCAATAGACTGGAGATTACATCATGTCTTACATCATCACTCTGATCATTAAAAAGCAAAATGAAACAAAGTTTTTATAAAATCACATCAAAAGTTGACATTTCCATCATTTCTAAAGATTTTCTCCAACTCATAAAACTCAGTTTTTAAATTAGCTTTCATCTCCAACATTAAATATTAAACAGTTCCACGTTTTATTTGTTGTTTTTTGGAATCGTTTCAGACGGAAGAAAACCCAGTAAATCAGAGATCTGCTGTAAACAAATAGAAATATATTCACACAGAGAACGGAAACCCTGCTGTACCCAACCTCACCAGCAGGGGGAGAAGATGCTGGATAATGTAGTTCACCTACAGGGTTCCGGTTCTGCAGACCCTCCTGCCGGTCCAGCGGGACGGATCGGTTCTGGTTCTCTGCTGTTTGTGTAGAACCTGGGCGGGATGTTGGACTGGACCTTCAGATCTTTGGATCCTCAGGAATGTGAGACAGAACCTGATGAGCAGAACTCTGGGCCCGGTTTGTGCTGTTTGGGTTGGTACTGCAGGAAGTTCTGTGAAGGTGTGAAAACTTTCTGGGATGAGACCAAACCGAACCGGTCTCACTGGCCTGACCTTCTGCAGGACTGTTTGTCGCCATGGAGACGGACCAACTGTGACCCAGTTCTCCCAGGATCCGATCCGATCCAGTCTGGATCAGGACCTTCAGCAGAAACTCATACAGAACATGAAGGAAGAGGAGCAGCATCCCCTGGAGAGGAAGATCCGGGTCGGATCCAGAGACTCTGGAGTGGACTGTTCTGTGTGCTTCATGGTTCCGGTTCTCCGGGTCGGGTCCAGAGAACCACAGAACTTCACTGGTTCATCTGGGAATGATTCTGATCCTGATGTGTTGCTTTTCTGGATTATGCTGCCCAGAAACAGAACCAGAACCGGTTCTGATCCGGTCCAGATCAGAACCGGTTCCTGTGGTTCTTCTGGTGATTTTGATCTGATTTTATTTCCTAGCATCAGATTCATGTTTCTGGATTGGCTGCTGGTTGGTTTGTGTTCAGGTTGTTCTGAAATGTTCTAGATGTGTTCTGGTTCAGAATTTCCCTTCATGTTTTTGTAAAAATGACGTCTTTGTTATTTATGGATTTATTTTGGATGAAATATGAATGATCTATTTCTGGGTTTGTTGTAGATCAGTTGTGGTTTGGTTCTGGGTAAATTACAGATTATTTCTATGGTTGACCTGGTCTGTTTGGGAACTTAGTTCTGGATTAACTCGGGTTTGGTTCTGGCTGTGTTTTTTCTTCAGTCCGACCAGGACAGGTTTTCCAGATTCAGTCTCATCTTCGTCTTCACTCGAGTGAAATCAGGTGTTCTCTTCTTCCGTCTCGCCGTCAAGCTCCTCCCCTTCCTCCTCCACGCTCTCCACGATTGGCAGATGGATGAGAGGCTCCTCCCCCCTGCCGGCCCTGGACAGGACGTCCATCCACCTGCGCTGTAGCTCCTCCCCCTCGGCGCTGAAGTAGAGAGTCAGGTGACTCTGGGAGATCTTGAAGGCGTGGCGTCGCTCCAGGCGGTCACATGACTCGGGCGGCGAGACCTCGAAGCCAATCAGAGGGACGCTGCGTTGCGCCTTCACATCCTGTGGAGAACAACCATACGCTTCATTATGCTGACTCTTTCCCAGGTGCATTGTGGGTATTTACCATCCACTTAGAAACAGCGTATGTCTCTGTTTCCGGACTTGTTGGATTAAAGAAGTCCAACCCTGTGCTGACTGTAGTACCCGCAGCCTCCTGTAGGGGCCCAGGTGGCGGCGGCTCACCTGCGGAGCGCCGTAGACGTAGAGCACCAGCGGCTCGTTCTCCGGGATGACGAACCACGCCTTCTGCCAGCCCCGCCCACCGCCCTTCTCCATGTGGTGAAGAAAACTACAAATCACACTGTTCTCTGCGGCCAGCGAGGCCTGTTTCTATGGTAACAAACAGAGGGGAGACGTCAGTCAGACCGAGCACGCGTTGGACTGTGGTGATGTCACAGTGATGTCACGCGTACCTCCAGGATGGAGCGCCTCCTCTGGCTGCTGCTGCTCATCGCCCCCGGCGACGGCGACGCCCCCACCAGCGTCACGTAGCAATCCACGCAGACGCGGTTGGTCCGGTTGTTGTCGTACGTCAAGCGAGCGCGAAACTCCGAGCATTTGCCACAAACCACCTGGAAGGCGGAGGACAGACGGTGAGAGAAGGAGGCCGAGACGGGGACGGCCGGACGGCGGCGGCCGGGCACGTACGTGTCCGCAGGCTTTGCAGTGGTGGCGTCTCTTGGTGATGGAGTTGAACGGCTCCTGGCACTTCATGCACAGAGTCACTTCCTTCTCCCGGATCGGAGTCGGCGCTCGTTTTCCCAACTCCACGCAACTCTGAGGCAAAGCAAAACGAGTCGTTAGTGTTTGTACGTCCCGCAGTACCACAGCGGAGCACCAGGGGCGCTGTTACCGGGGAGTGGGGCGGCGTGGACTCGTCGTCTCGCAGAGTACAGGTGAGGTGTCTGAAGCTCTCCATGGTCTGCTCATGGCGCTGGATGGTGGCCTGGATGGCCTGCACCAAACATGCAAGACTGCCTCAATAACCTTATAAAGGTTTACTTAAAAATGTAAAAGTTTATTGTAATAAAGTTCGAAGAGTTCATTTTTGTAACCTTATATAGGTTTATTTTGAAAACATAAATTGTTATTTTTGTAACATTGAAACATTGTGGCATTAAAATGCTTATTTTAATAGCAATCTAAAAGGTTATTCTTGTAACATTGCAAAAATTTATTTCAGTAACGTTAAATAAAAGTTTATTTTCTTAACATTTCCAGGTTCATTTTTAGGACATGAAAGTTTTTCATAATCTTGATTTAATATGCAAAAATATTCATTTTTATAGCGTTGTACAATGTTATTTTGGTAAAGTTTTCCTGATTGATTTTATTAACGTTGTAAATGTTTTTATGATGGCCTGGCCAAAACATGGACGATTACACGACTTCGTTCATGTTCAGTGTCTTCCAGCTTTATTTTTATGACGTCGTCCAACGTTATTCACAAACCAGAACTTTTTTATGCTTAATATGAAGAACTGAAGCCGAGCTGCTAACAGCTGCTCAGTGACTGATGGACTGGTTGGGTCCGTTTGGGACATTTTGAGGATTTGTTTCTCTCTGTTTTAACATTTAACATTTTATTACTAGAAAGAAAAAAAATCCAGAAACTTGTTTTGTTCCTGTAAGCTTTAGATTTCAGAACCGACTGATGTTTGTGACTGGACCGGCCACAACCAACAGAGCCTTTGGTGTTCAGGAAGAGCAGGAACACACCTGGATCCAGTCCTTTTTCTCTTCCTCCGTTCTGCAGAAACACAAACACACAGTGAGCCTCAGAGGAACCACTGCGGTTCTGAAGCGGTTCTACCTCCCAGGTCTGGGCGGGTCCACCTACCTGGCCTGCAGCTCCAGAGATCTCTGTTTTCCAGACACTAGGAAGGTTCTGCTGGGAACAGCGACGCTGCTTGTCTCCTTCAGCTATGGACACAAACACTTTGTTGGTTCAACCAGAACCAGAACCAGGGAGGTTCAAAGTGTGGTTCGGGGGCCATTAGTGTCTCACCTCCATGCCGTCCACGTCGATGCGAGCGCGGACGCTGTACTTCTGACCAATCAGGCGCAACTTGGGGACACAGTACAGCAGCCGGTCGTTGAACTGAGGAGAAACAAAGGAGCTGTTAGAACCTCAGCACTGGACCGGCTGGGGCTCCAACAGAACCAGCCCATACCAGGATCAGATATCGGTCTTGCGTGGTTCCATTCTTATTGGACAGCTTGAGGATGTGTCCCTCCTTGATGAGTTCGTTGGTCGGGTTGACGATGTCTTCCTCTCCGCCCAGAAGCTCATAAACCTTCAGCAGCTTCCTCATTCGCTCCTGAAAGACAGACAAGAACTGGAGAACCACCGGGTCCATCTGGGCTCACCAGAACCCTACAGAACCGACTGAACGTTAGACACCGGGACCCTGAATAAACGGTTTAACAGCATCAGAAGCTGCAGGGAGAACGGTTTCCTGTCTGACAGCAGGAGGACTTTGTTTCCCATCAGCCTCGTTGGCTGTCAGCTCCCAGGTTTTCTCACCGCCTCTGTCTCACCTCGGAGCTAAACGCAGCCTGAACATCACGGCTCCACCTGCAGCCAGGACCAAACGTCCTCCAGGCCTCACTGCCCGAGCTTCTGGGAGATCCAGAAAGCTTTTCATCCTGAACATCAGCGTTAAAATTCATCCTGGAAAAACAGACTTCACCTGCATAAAGATTTTATCTGCAACTTTCCTGAAGAAACCAGAATCCTTAAGATCCCTGATAACACAGCTCTGAGTCAAACCAACCAAACCCTTTGAGCAATCCGTTCCCCTCCTCGCCTATAAGGGAGAAAGACCACGAGCCATTTCTGCTGCTAGCGCTAGGCTAGCACGTTAGTTTTGGTTGTATTTACCCAGAATGCCCTGCACTGTAGTCCACTTTCTGCTTTTGGAGCGGTCTCCAGTCCACTTGGCATTCACATGCATTCAGACCAAACCAGAGTTCACCTAGACCGAGGTTTGAGGACCAGAGGTCACTTAGCATTCACACCTCACCAACCGAACCGACTAGACAAACTGACTGGGTTGGTGGGAACAGACCGTTAAAGCCTGGGATCACTAATCCGGGTTCTGACCTAGTTCCCCATGAGACATGAAGACATTTCAGGAAAAACTTCATCGCTTGTTGTTCCTCAGAGGCCAACGTGGCGATGGACTCTGCTCCCGACATGCAGGATATGATGGCTGGGCAGAGGAAGTCCCTAAGGTCCTCCTTCTTTCACAAAAGTCCAGAACCAGTCCAGGTCTGCAGTCCCCACACACCAAGCAGCCTGGGATGGTTCTCTAGCAAAAAGTCTTTTCATCCCTGAGTCTAACTTTGGGAGCCACAGAAGGCTGAGTCCCTATGATCACCTAATACCCGCCGACTGGTTCAGGAGCCCTAACGGGGTCTGTCTCCACCAGTAGGGTTTCTGGTTGCACAGTTCCCAGAAATTGCTTGAATCTGAACATGTCCTGTTCTGATTCCAGGCTCATTCCCAGTTCTCAGTCTGACAGGAAGTTCTGGTTCTCACCCATCCGGTCTTACCATCTTCCTAATGGCGGCATTGGAGTGTTCTGCGGCCGTGGCGATCAGCTCCAGAGACTCTGCAGAGACACACAGACAAACACATGAGACCTTCAAGGACATCCGGTGTGTTTGGCTTCCTGTTGTGGTTCCATTGGGTGTTTGGTGTCGTACTCTGGGCGTCCCGGTGGTCCGGGGCGTCCTCCGGGAGGCGGTTCAGGTAATCCTTGAGCAGCAGCTCGTAGCGGGGTATCCTCTGCACCGGCTCCAGCATGTGGTGCTGCAGCGTCAGGTTCCCGCAGCGCTCCTCTCTCTGCCAGACACCGGCATGAGGCAGAACCGGTACCAGGACCGGGACCAGGATTGGAGCCGGAACCTACCTGGATCTCCTGGACAATGGCCTTGAACGGAGCGGACCTCTCCATCCAGATGTTCACCAGCTCCATGGCTCGGTCAAAATTCTTCACATATTCTCCGTACATCTTAAGGAAGGGAGCCAGCTTCTGCAGGATGTCACCGATCCGTGGGTTGGAGTCCCTGCAGGCGGAACCAGAACCAGTGCAGAACCTCAGTGCTCCATTCACTTCTATGCAGATGATACAATTCTTACATTCATCCCATCCTCAGTAGGAGCAGCAATGCTTCAGTAACATCCTGAAATCTTTGAAATTTCTGTTGAATTCCAAAAACCAAAGAAATGTGGATTGGTAAAAAAAAGTCATTCATAATCACTGTCTGTATTTCTAATGTGAGCAAATCCTGTTCTGCTAATGTCAAAAAAGATAATTTTGTTATTACAATGTTCCCATTAAATAAGAAATTAAATTAAAATCACTCGTAAATAAGTTTATGTGATAAATCATAAAAAATCCTGGCAGTAATTGACGTAAACATTAGATTTATTCATAACTCGGAGTCAGCGCTCATCATCTGTCAGCCAATCAGAGGAGACGGCAGCGTCTGATTCAGACGTTGCAGCGACAAGCCCCGCCTACTCGGCTACATCTGGAGTCAGCCATTTTCCAGGACAGTTATGGATTCAACACGTTGGGACGACTCAAAACTTTTAATAACGAAGACGCAGAGAGACGCTGGAGGAGCCAGAGAAAACAACCCATCATCCTCAGACCACTGCCTGTCGTCTTCTTCAGCGTTTCTGCCAGTAGCAACATCTGGCTGCTGATCACGTGACTCATGATGTGAATAAAATGTTTCCATTGCAGTTTTGTGAAATGCATCAATGTCAACTTGGTTGAAAACACACCTTAACCCAGCTCTAAAATATTTGATTAAAATTGCCATATTTCCATAAAGCAAATTTGTTTTTACAATTTCAATGTGTCCAATTTTATGCAAAATGGAAACGCAGCCAGTGATGCTAATGTTGTTTTTCACTATAAAGCTCAATCTTCGCTTCCCACCCAGTCGCTAAGGTAATTGATAATTTGTTTTGAATGGCTGACCTGGCTGAATGAAGGTTAAATGAAGGTCAAACACGCTCACCACTCCTCCATCCGTTTCTGCAGCGCCGGCAGCAGGAACTGCTGGTGGAAGCAGTAGATGGAGCAAATGTTGGAGAAGATTCCCTGAACCACGTCACAGGGGAACGAGGAGCGACAGCGCGCCTCCTCCAGCAGGTGGGCGCAGAACACCTGCAGGACAGGCAGCCAATCAGAGCCTTTGGGCGGGGCCTCCTCGCTGGGGGCGGAGCCTTCTGGCCTGCTGTTGAACGCAGTACTCACCTGGTCCAGCAGGTGGAGCTTGGACACGTAGGCGGTCTCGGTGAGGAGAAGCTCGTTGGCGATGTTGAAGACCCGCTGATGGACGGACAGCTGGACACAAACAGAACCAGTGAGACCGTTTGTGGTTCTGATCCGTCTCAGGAGTTGCAGAACCAGGACCGGTGTCACACAACCAGGGAATTCTGATCAGGTTGTGGTTGTCAATCACCCTCTCCATGGCGATGCTCATCCCCCCTTGCTCCCTGCTGCGTTTTTGAGCCTAGCCTGCTACGAATCCTGGCCCAGTTAGCATAGCCACCAATGACGGCTGATGAACGCTTTTCCTGCTGTTTCTCTGCCATTAGAACATCGAGCAGCGAGTACATGAGGATGACTGAAAACATTAAGACCCGCCTCCTGGATCTGATTGGTTGGTTTGCAGCTCATTGAGGTGGAGATTGATCACATCATGCTGACAGTTTGAAGAAACAGTTACAGACTGCAGCTTTAAACCTGAACGTGTTTTTCACATCAGCCTCGCCGCTGCAACGTCTGAACAACCTGCTCTCTGATTGGTCGGTTTGTGTCTCACCTCCACGGATTCCTGCCGGTCCGGTTTGGGCGGGGCCAAAACCAGAGTTAGCTCCGCCTCCTCCTCCAGGTCACTGTCGCCCTCCTCAGCGAAATCCCTCTTCCTCCTCGCCCCCATCCGGGCCTCCTCTGCCTCTCCCACCTCCCCGGCGGTGGATGAGGAGCTGGAGAGGCGGGGCAAGAGGGCGGGGCTGCAGGGATAGGCCACGCCCCCATCATCCACACCAGTGAAGCAGAGCTCCTCGCTGTGCGACGGCGAGCTGATGCTGTCGATGCCGCTGTCCCGATTGGCCAACTTCCCGTCCGTCTGCGAGGAGGGGAGGGATAGGCGCTCAGAGGGCAGCTCTGATTGGTCCGGAGGCAGCGGGGGCTGCTGCTCCTCTGTTTCCACGGTAACCACCTCGTCCTCCAACGGTTTGTCTGAGGCGCTGTAGCCTGACTCCAAGGACAGACGTTTGTGATGGACGTCGTCCTGACAGGCCGCCGCTAGCTCTTCATCCTCATCATTATCATCATCATCTTCATCACATAGCTCAGCCCCTTGTGTGATGTCATCCTGCTCTGTGAGGTCACTGGGTGGCTCCGCCCCCCCGAGTTGGGGGGGGGCAGGCGAGGCAGAGGATGGAGGTGATGAAGATTGAGGGGAGGGGGGGTCTAGTGGGCGGGGACACAGCGCCCCCCCGGTGATGTCCGGCACCACGATGATCTGCTCGCTGCAACACAAACAACCAATCAGCAACCAGAAGAAGTAATGACACCACTCCCCCTCTGACCAATCACAACTCACCGCTCAAACTTCTCGATGAGCGACAGGACGCAGGTGGGGGAGGCGGTGCCGTCGGCCTGGTTGGGGGGTGTCCAGGCCCCCCGGGGGTCAGCAGGGAGGGGCCTGCAGGGGGGTGGCGGTGGGAGGGACTTCTCTGGGACTCGGAGGCGTGGCCTCATCGCTCCAGCTTGCTGCTGCAGGTGGGGGGGTTTTGGGGGGACTAGAGGAAGTGGGCGGAGCCACAGATTGGGTTTATGTGAAATGAATGAAAAGTCTACAGTCAATTTGACCTTTAAAAGTGTTTTACACAAGAGTCACACACATTTAATCATCTAAACACGGACATGCAGGTCGGCAGGCAGCTGGCACAGGAGGAACCTGGAATCAAACCTGCAACTTCCCAATTACAAGACAACTAATCTAGACAACAGCGACTGCACTGCTAAAGTTGCAGCTTACCCTGAGGTTTGGGCCCCAGTAGCGGCGGGCGGGTCCGGTTTGGGGCCGTTACCGTGGTTACGGGCAGCTCTGGTGGCCCGGTGTCATTCACGGACCCACCGCTCTCCGTTTGCTCTGCCCCTTCCTCTGATCCCGGGTTCGAGTCGGGCTGCAGGGGAGCGTCAGCGTCCAGCGCCCCCTGGTGGCCACATGGAGAGCAGGACGACTCCAGAGAGAGGCTCTTAGCCAGCAGGGTGGGGCTGGTGGAGGAGGTGGGGCCTGGGGAGCAGGACACATGTCAGGGAGCCCATATCCACCGTCTTTCGAAATAAGAGCCAAATAAACAAACAAAAAAAAAAAAAAAAATTTTTTTTGCAAGAGCGGTGACATAAATGTCCATCCATCCCTGGATGGATCATCATCATAAATGTGACATAAATGTGTTAATTTCAATCCATTAATTCACCAGTTTTAACACAATTCATTCCCTATCTGGAACCTTCGAACTTGTTTGTTTCTGGTATGGCAGTAAATGTGATGCACAGCTACGTCGCTAACAGCGGCGATGGAAGCAGCTTCTCTGGTCCCACTGTCGCTTCATTTCTGCCCCTAAACGATGTGACTGGAAAACACTTTTGTTCTCCTCTCCCTGTCTGTTGCATGGCGCCTATTGCTCTACACCCAATAAAATGTCTCTTTATTCTTATTTATCAATTTTTCTTCCGTCACCGTTGATGCGGCTCGTACCGCTGCGTGCAACCCCACAAATGTGGCATCAAAATGTGCGGCTCGATGCCGTGAGGGGAGCTATTACTTCTGGTGGGATTCGGAGTTACCATGGCAACTTAATTTGCGAAAAACGATTCCCAAAAACCCCATTCAAGTCAATGGAGCGAGGCGACGGAAAATCCGGAAAAAAAAAAACTATTTTTGATGAATTTCTGTGTCGTCATGATTTGACGTAGAAATTCCATTGAAATTTCAGTTTGTAGACACGTCCATGATCTCTTCTAAAGTAAAGACGGTACGTCGATACGAATTACGGTTTCTCCACATTTTGTCTCCAAACGACCCAAAGTTTTCGATTTTTCGAAAAGTTAGAGTGTGAGGGCCGCTCCGCTAGAGTGGGAGAGAGAGGATTTCTGACCCCAAAATAATTTCTAACTCGCCCTCACGCCCACAAATATCACCCGATTGGCCTCAAAGTCGGTCTAGTAGCACGTTAGCTTAGGTTGTATTGAAGCTTATTTAGTCTATAAAGTGCGATTAATGGATTACAGACCCTGAAATGAACTCTGTTGAACCTTTTTATCGGGTTCCTCCACTGACAGAATCACGTCAGCAGCTGATTAGTTGAATCCTGCAGCAGATCCTCAGCCTTGTTTTTGGATCATTTGGTTCTGCAGGTTCTGGTCCAGATCAAAACCCGCTCCTCATCTTCATCACCTCTCAGCTACGACACTATACCAGGACGCTCTCACTGTCCTGAAGGGGGCAATAAAGAGCTTTATGGTTCAGATTGATGGTGGTGCTTGGCCTCTGGTCCAAAAGGGTCCAAAGTTCAGAAAATTATCTCCATTATTTCCAGAACCGTTCTAATTTTCAGGAACAATCTGGAAATAGATTAAAAGCAGCCAACAGAATCTTCTGGGAAAAAAGTGACAAAACTGACTGAGACCTGTTATACAGCGGTTCTAAAGGTTCTTCTGGTTGCCAGTAGAACAGGAGGTTGGGACCCGGTACCAGTCCAACTGGTTCAGCCAGGTACTGTAACTGCAGCTAAAAGAAATTCATGAGGTAAAAATGTGTCCAGTCATTGAGAGAGCAGCAACATCTCAGCCGCTTCCTGCAGCTTAAATACCAGCAGAGTGGCCAGACAGGAAGTGTGTGTGTGTGTGTGTGTGTGTGTGTGTGTGTGTGTGTGTGTGTGTGTGTGTGTGTGTGTGAGAACTTGTTAGGAGGTCATGGGAAAGCCTGAGTGGGCTGATGTGGACCAGATGTTCTGCTGATGGAAAACTGCTGGCCAAACTACATTACCCACAATCCTCCAATACCACTTCCTGTTGGTCGGAATGAGGCTGAGTTCTCCTTAGATCAGTGTTTCCCAGCCCTGGTCCTCAAGGCTCACTGCCCTGCATGTTTCAGGTATTTCCTTGCTTCAGTCCAGCTGATTTCAGTTGATGACTGATTAACAGGCGTTTGTTGAACTGCAATCAGCTGAACCAGGCACATTACAGCAGGGAAACGTAGAAAACATGTAGGACAGTGAGCCTTGAGGACCAGGGTTGGGAAACACTGCCTTAGATTACTGGGAGGTTCTGATGGTTCTGATTCACTGAAGACGTTTTAGATTGTTCTGAATCAAAACAGACGTTATTCCGGTTTTTAATCTTTCTAATTCAGAATGTTCACGCGTTTATTGATCATGTTCTCACCAACTCCAGCATGTTCTGGAGACAGACTGAATCAAGATGGCGCCAGCCACCTGGTGTTTGATTGGCTTTGTGTTCTCATGGTCTAACTCGACTCATTTACTGTCGCCACACCTTTACTTGGTTCTGGATCCAGTTTTATTAGTCTGCCGCTATTTTCAGCCCTCACTTGTCACCAAGGTAACAGTGGGTGTTCTGGTCCAGATAACCGTTTCAGGACTTGCTCCTGACAGGAAAGACGTCCATCTTTGTTCAGCTTGTTAGTCAGGACATTGGTGCAGTACGCCTGTGGGGGCGCTGCACCAAGGACCACTGAAGGAAACGACACAAAAACTTCTGAAGACGCTGAGAGCAACTTCCTTCTTCACCAGATAGAAACAAGATGGAGGCGTCAGATTTTAGAGGTTGGACGATTTCTCTTTAGTCTTTGGCTAAGACCAGGAGCCATTTCTGCTGCTAGCCTTATGCTAGCATGTTAGTTTTGGTTGTATTTACCCAGAATGCCCTGCTCTGTAGTCCACTTCCTGTTTTTGGAGCAGTGTCCGGTCCGCTTGGCGTTCACATTCAGACCAAACCAGAGTTCACTTCAACCGAACCCAGATTGAAGTTTGGAGGACCAGAGGTCAGAGGTCAATGAGCATTCACACCATCCTGCAGGTTCCCTAAACCAACCGAACCGGACTTTGTAGGCAGGACTGCTGGGAATACAGGCATCAACTATAATCCAGTTTCTAAGTGACCTTTTATATCAAAAGGTTTTGAGTCGGTTGTTTTGAATCATCTCCAGATTTCTTCCAGACCTTTATGGATTGTTCCAGTCTGGCTGAAAGAACTAAAACAGCTCTTAGTTTTAACATTCCTGAATCTGTGTTCAGCCTTTCAGATGGTAGATCATCACATCCTGTCAGCTTCCAGTCGTGTTCCTCCTCTCCTGTATCAGTCCTGGGGTTCCCCAGGGCTCCACCTCCGGTCCGCTGTTGATCCCCGTAGACATGCTGTGGTCAGGAAACACAAACTACCCTCTACTGAGCAGTTCCCTTAGAACAGTTAGCAGGTTGGCACCTCAGGGCTGTCCAGAACCTTTGGTGTTTTCAGTGTTTGGAACCAAACCAAGTTCTTTGTCACAGGTTCTGGTCCAAAAAACTACAGAGAGAACCGACCAATCAGAACCAGAGCTGACCAATCAGGAACTAAACCAGCAAATCAGGAGCAGAAACAACAGGAACCTCAATCTAATTCAATTACAGAAAAATCTCAGGAATTTCACATGTGAAAACCATGAAAAACATTTCACACCAATGTTCACATGTGAATGATGTGAATCACACGAAGAAGTGCATCTCTCTCTGTGTGCATTTGGAACGTGGTAAAAGCTCATGTTTTCACATGGACTTCACATTTATCATGTGATTTATGTGAAAATATATAAATCTATAAAATGAACATGTGAATCTCTGGGTCCAGATGTGTTCATGGCCTCTTTCATGTGAATCGCATCCTTCATGTTTGTGTGTAACATGTGGAGTTTTAAAAATAATTTTCACATGTGAATTTCCTGTCCATTCAGAACCTTTTGCCCTCTGATTCCCGGACCGCCCGGTTCTGTTCCTGCTGAATGGACTGGTTCTGCTCAGTAGAACCTGCAGAACCTCGCAGGTTCTACTGATGTACCACACCTGATTCTGGTTCCGGTAACACTGAAATGAATTTTCACATTTTCAGAACCACCAGGCCGTTACTGGACCGGATCCAGGCTCGGTTCTGTTGCGAGGCCCAATCAGGAGGGTCTCTCTCTCCCTCTGCTGGTTTTGATGCACGCGCACACATCGCTGTCATACACGCGCGTGTTCACACGATCGATGGGCCGCGCTCGGCAGGGCTCGGCCCGGTTCGGATCCAAACAGACAGCAGCTCATCGATCACCGGTCGGATCGATCCCACCCATCAGCAGCGGGGTCACGTGACTGCGGCGGGGCGCTTTCAGGTCGGTGTCACATCTGGCGCGCGCGGCCGCCAGTAGCCCACTTCCACTGCGGGATGTCGGTCAGTGTGTGCGCGTGCGCGGCAGCGGGATTATTCCACACACAGACAGGAAAATAGGACGCGAGCACGCTGCAGCTGGGCGTGCACGCGCAGGTGTGTGTGTGTGTGTGTGTGTGTGTGTGTCCGCGCGCGCGGTGCGGATGCGGCGGACTCACCTCTGCTCACGCTGCTTCGGTCCATGTACATCGCGCAGCAGAAAACGAATCCGGTCATTAAAGAGACGTCGGTGCGCGGGGAGAGCGGCTCCCCCGGTCCACAGCAGAACAAACACACACACACACACACACACGGCCCGGTTCGGGCGGTCCGGACCCGCGAGCTGCCGTTCAGGACGGATCAGGCGGTGGATCCGCGCGGCTCGGTTCTGCCCGGTGCGCGTGCGGCGGCGGCGCAGAGGGAGGGGGCGGGGACGCTCTCCCTCTCTTTCTCGCTCCCTCTTTGGTTTCCATGACAACAAATTAAAAGGAAAGGTGACAGGTGATCACGTGGCCCCGAGCTGTCAACAGAACCATTTCTATCAAATATCAGCAACCAGAACCGCTGACGGTTCGGTTCTGGTTCCAAGTTTATCCTCCAAGGCTCGGTTCTGCAGTGAGCAGTCCGTCATCTGCAGTAAACCGAGCCAGAACCTCTGACACAACCGGAAGGGGGCGCACTAGACCCATCCCTTCATTTCATTTACAGCTGGTCCAACGTCAGAGCCTCCGCTGACCTTTGACCTCCACCAGTCTGACCCAGAACAGAATGTTAAATATTTGGCTTTGAAACTGCAACATTTATAACTGAATAACTTGGTGAAAATAGGACTTTGAAAAATGAAGCCCCATTTTTTCCTCTTCTGCCAGATTAAATAATCCAAATGCTGCTAGTTTCTTTTAAAGGTGCCCTGTAACAGCCGCCTTCAGGAATGTAGATATAATAAACCAGAACCATCAGAAATGTTTCTGTGAGAAGGTCAGAGTCCAGATGACCTCAGAGGTTCTGGTTCCCAAACAGATTTTCCTTCAGCTGCTGGGAGAAATCTTGGAGTGAAAAGCAGAAATGAAAGACATGAACAGAAGGAACCATGAGAAACCCAGATCGATCAGATCCAGCTGAGGATGACCCGGTTCTGGTCCCAGACTGGAAGCCAGGTCTGGATCATGGTGCTGGATTGGTCCCAGAGGAACAGCTGGAGCCGATTGTTCTGATCAGGAATGATCCGGAGTGTCAGGATGGAGCTCGGAACGTTTTTACATCCCGCTGTCCTTCTGTAGGTTTGATGATGTCACCATGGAGACGCCGATCCAATCACCATGGAGATACTGGTCCAACTTTCAGCTCAGACCAGCATCCATCCAACAGGAGGAACTTCCTCTGATCCGCCAGCAGAACCAGAACCACGAAGGCTGACGATGACCGATGACTTAATTCATTCAAAACAAAATATGACAGAAAAACTGAAACCTTCAAACCTCCGTTGTTTCTCGTTTTCAAGATTTGAAGCAGAGCAGATGCTCCAGACCCAGCAGACCTTCTCTTATCCTCATCAGCTTCATGCTGGTTCAACATTTCTGTCCTGGTGGTTTTTCAGGGTAGTTTAAGGCTGAAGAACCTCCAAACTTTATTTGACTTTTTTACTTCAAAAACCACTAAATATTGATTTTAGTTGGTTGTTTTAATGTTTCACATTAAACATTTTGAATGGACAGGAAGTTGTTCGGCATTCCTCAGGCTTCAGGTTCTGCTAACAGTTCGAACCAGAACTAGAACCATCGGAGTCCAGCTGCTCAAACACTGAAGTGCAGCATCAGCTCCAGTCTGTCTGAGGTCAGAGGTCATGAAAGCTTCAGCCAATGAGAGTTCTTTCCCTGGATCCATATGTTCTCCGTAAAGAGAAAAAAAAAAAACCACAAACTCAGCAAAACACTCGATCCAGAGCCAAGAACTACAGCCGGAAAACCAGGAGTTCAGTCAGGAGTCAGAGGATCCGGAGCGCACACACACACTCTCACACACACACACACACACACACACACACACACACACACACACACACACACACACACTCACACACATGTTTGTGTTGCTATCTTTGTGGGGAATTTCCATTGACTTCCATTCATTCCTACAGCCTAAACCTGACCTTTACCCTTTTCCTAACCCTAACCAACCAAAACTCAATTCATACCTTAGCCCTAAATCTGACCCCTGACCCATAAACAGCGTTTCCCCTTGTGGGGCCCAGGCTTTGGTCCCACAAGGAGCAGTGGGTCCCCACAGCGTAGTATGTGTCACAAACGTGGTCCCCACAAGGTATTACAAGTAAACACACACACACACCCTCACTCATTCCTGTCCTCTATTTATAACCTGAAGCCCTTCATTCATATCTGACTGTGTGTGTGTGTGTGTGTGTGTGTGTGTGTGTGTGTAGGTGTGTGTGTGAGAGAAACATGGTCATGTGACTAATCGAGGTAGAGGCATCATGTGACCTACAGCTAACAAGTTCCAATTAGATTCACCATAATGTGATGAAGAACGACCTGCAGACCCACTGGACACCAGAACCAGAACCAGGTTGGTCCAGATACTGAATGAATGAATGAATCCATCCATCCATCCATCCATCCATCCATCCATCCATCCATCCATCCATCCAACATCCATCCATCATCCATCCATCCATCCATCCAACATCCATCCATCATCCATCCATCCATCCATCCATCCATCCATCCATCCATCCATCCATCAGCAGGAAGTTCCTGAGGCTCCGCCTCCTTTCTGGACACAGAGTCGGCAGTGACTCACCTGTCCTGCCGGGGGCGCTGTGGAGATGGTAGGAGAACCTCATGGTGCTGAACTGGGTGGAGAAGGAAGTGGGGGTCAGCCTGTGAGGTCGGTTCAGCTGCATGCCAAGGTCAAAGGTCACTGAGTCTCAGATCATCTTCTGGGTCTCAGAAAGGTTCTGGTTCTCTACAGCAGGAACCGGGCTCACTCCGGGCCCCATTCAGACCCAAAGTCCAGCTTCAGGTGGTTCTGGTTTCCTGGTTCTGGTTTTGGCTGGTTCTGGTCTCTCTCTCCTCCATCTCTCTGTCTTTCTGTCACTCTTTCAGGAAGTTCACTGCTCCCACCATGCTGGCCTCCATCTCAGTCGCCATGGAAACGGTCTGGTAAGAACAGTACTCAGATCAGCTGACTGGACCCGGTTCCTCCCCCCCGAACCGACCCTGCTGCTTGGATCAGAGGACACCTGGAGGAGTTTTGCCGCCTTCTTTGACCCAGTTCTGCTCCGCCAGGAGGTCCGACTGGGTTCTGGTTCTGGTTCTGCTTCTGGTTCCGGTTCTGCTCCTCCTCCAACCCTCCAGCTCCTCTGAAAGTTGTGGGTTTCCTCCAGACAGCAGCTGGGTCGTCTCTGCGCAGCTCCAGACTGCGACCCAAACAGCCGAGCCGGACCAGAACTCCTCCTCCTCCCAGACATCTGATCCGGATCCCCTCCTCCCTCCGTCTGGTTCTCATTTTCTCTGCTTTTGGTTTTTTCCAGGCTGGAATCTGGAGCAAAAGGAAAACTGGAGAGCAGAACTCCAGCAGAACTTTTTCCATGGCGGTCCGGACAGATCCAGGTCTTTGGAGATTCTTTTATGAGGCAGAACTTCAGATAATCTGACCTTTAACCTCTTGCTGTTTGCGACATACAGAACAGTTTATAGTTTTCTGTTTGGTGAAGTTGGTTCAGGTTGGATTAGAAAAATGCTGAGGAGGAAAAACACTAAAAACCTCTGAAGGAATGTTGCTCAGAAAGCAGCAGAATGTGGCAAAAATTGTCCTAAAAATAAACATTTAACACGATTAGAACGGATCAAACTAAACCCAAAGCTGGTTCTGGATCGTCTCCCAGTGTCAGTGGTTCTGGGAGAGAGTCATCATGAGGTGTTGATCGCCCAATCAAAGGTCAACTTGATCAGAAGCAAAGATGTCCGACAATCCTGGAGATGAAACCTCTCCAGCCTGAATCCGCTTCCAAGGTTTCCAACATCCCATAATAAACTGGTTCACATCCACCATTTTACATATTAATATTCTAAACTAACTTTGCTAACTAGCTTTGTTTTTAATTTCTAAAAGAACAAAAAGGTGAATAATATCTGAGAACTTAATTATTTTAATAGTCTTCATTTGTAGTTCGAAACATTTTTGAGTATTTTCATCTTTTGTCTGACTGACGCAGATATTCTCTTTAGACCCTGGATCTCACAAGAGCAAATATGCTAATTAGGCGATGACATCATCGTTTTATCTTTTGGACAGCCAATAGCTGCTGTCCTTGCTCAGGAGTTTAACAGAAGAGCTTTTAGGCTGTAAAACCCAAAGTAACTTAGACTTGCTCTGTCAGTTTGACTGCTGTGTTTCTTCAAATATTGACTTATTTCAAAACTAGATATTTTGACTGGAAGACCGTCACTCTGCACAGTGGCGCAGTTGGTAGCACTGTTGCCCCTGGGTTCGATTCCCGGCCCGGGGAGTTTGCATGTTCTCCTTGTGCATCAGTGGCGCAAAAAGTGGGCATGCAGTGCATAGGGGCGCTGCACCAGAGGGGGCGCCAAAACCCCGTCTGGAGGAGGCGGGGCGCCCTTATGCTCCTCCACCTCGTTCCCATAACGGGGTAAATGTAGCAAGTTTTACCTTTCACGTACCTTCGTGTCAAGGGGGGCGGGGGAGGGGGGTCGCATCCACCTGAATGGATGCGATAAATCGCGACCATTCGACCCTGCTGTGCATGGTGGGTTCTCCAAACACATGACTGTCAGGTTAATTGGTTTCTCTAAATCCTCCCAGGTGTGTGGTTTGTGGTGTGTGTGTGTGTGCATGGTTGTTTGTCCTGTTTGTCTCTGCGACAGACTGGTGACCTGTCCAGGTGACCTGTCCAGGTGACCCCGCCTCTCACCAGGAACGTTAGCAGGAGAGGCAGCAGCTCCTCCTGACCCCACTAAGGGACAAAGGTGTTAGAAAATGGATGAATGAATCATCTCCCTCAAGCAGTTTTTATAAATTGATCTCATGAAAAAAATGTGAAAAAGGTTAATAAATATGAATTCATATTAGTGATATAAGTTTAAAACCCATGTAAATCCAGTTAGAAAACTGATGAAAAGTTATTTCTCATGTTTGTGCCATTGTATTCAAGGAAATTGAGATCTGAACATCAGCAATCAGCTGGTAAGCCTGTTGTGGGATCTGTTGGTAGGACCCTTATTCTCCACTAGGGGGCGTTCACCTCTGGAGAAGATCAGGAAACCTCTGTGGTTATTCCCTATTCTACAGGGTGTGTTGTATAAAATAACTGTCTCCAGCTCAGAGGGAACAACCAACCTTAACATTCTCATCTTTAGTGACATAACCTGAACCTTCAGAGCCACATAAAGACAGTCACAAAGTCGGCCTTCTGTGACCTGAAGAATCTCCAGGATCAGAGGACTGATGTCTCAGATCAGAGAAACTCATCCAGGCGTTTATCTTCAGTCTCATTGTTTCCTGCAGCAGCGTCTTCACAGGTCTGTCCACCA